TTGATCGTGGGTAACTGAAATCACACAAAGTGAAACCATGGATGGGGGGGCTGCTGTACCCAATATTCATTTCTACCATACATTTAGGTTTGTTTTACAACACTAGGTAGGAGAAACATTCAATATCTGTAGTACATTCAGATAAACATACGAACCCTTTTTAAATATTCCGGTTTCATTTTCTCTTCTCCACATCTTAACTATTTTCCCATTCATATGCATATGGCCTTGGGCCTCTGGTTGGGTGGAACCAGAAGACCCTGGCCCCCTATCAATCATCCTGTTTAACTGGCACCAAAGTAACGGTCTAAGAATGCAAAGTTTCACTTCCCATACCCCTTCATTCTTTCTCTTCCTAAGTCTCATGCTTCCATGAGTCTGGAGCCATTGCAAGGATCCCTGCTTCTGACACCAACTGTGAAAATGGCGCGGTGGCTACGTCTGACCTCCTCTAACTTCACAAGAGGGAGAGAGAATTGCCATCGGCATCATCCCAAGGCTGATTCTTATGAGGCGGAGGTCAAACATACATCCTCTCTCCACGGTCTTTACCAATTCTGACACTAACCATCCCTTCCACGGCACTACTTCTCTGCTGGGTTCCATAATTCATTGCAATGGCCACACAGAACTCACAGACCATACTCACGGTTATGGGGTTTATTAGGGAAGTAACAGGTTACAATTCAGGCTCAGGAACACTCAGGATACAATTCCTGGATCAGGACAGCCTCTTCTCAGCTGTGTCCTCAAGCACGCCTCTCTCTGGCCGCTTGACCTCTGTCCTGCTACGGCAAGTGTTACAAAACTTTTTTACCACTGCTGATAAGTGCCCGGAGGCAGCCTACTCCGCCCGTAAGCCTTGGTCCGAAGGTGCTCAGCTCTAGCTCCTTGGGTCAGCAAACCTAGCTCCAAGTGCCCAGAGGCACCCTACTCTGTCAGCAAGCCTCCAGCCCACCACGCAGTCTCCTGCTAGTCTCCTTCAGTCTCCTTGGGTCTCTTTGTTCTGCTGCCGCTGTTTCTCTGCTGCTGCTTCTTGCCATCTCTGGTGTTATAGCTCTCCCACTCTGTCTTCTGTGTTACAGCTCCTACCCTCTCTCTGTCTCCCTTTAAGCCTAGCGGGTGGCAAAACTGACCAACCCCCTCATTAGGGTTCTGTACACCTCATTTGCATAGACCCACCCAGTCATTTGGTGGGAGTTACAAAGACTGTGGCTAGAAGGGCCATATTAAGTAATTCAGTGCACCACACCACCAAACAGAAACTTCCCCTTTCCCCCTCCCTCCCACCCCTGGTAACCAGTAATAATCTTTGGTTTCAATATATTTGCTTATTTCATATACATGCTATAATGCAGTATTTGTCCTTTTGCGGCCGACTTATTTAGCTCAACATAATGTTTTCAAGGTACATCCATGTTGTGGCATGCATCAGGACATCATTGCTCTTTATGGCTAAATAATAGTCCACTGTATGTGGTTATGGATTGAATTGTGTCCCCCCCCCAAAATATGTGCTGTAAATGTTAACCCCTATGCCTGTGGATGTAATCCCTTTTGGGAATAGGGTTCTCTTTGTTCCGTTAATGAGGTCATATCAGTGTAGAGTGTCTTAAGCCAATCACTTTTGAGATATAAAAGGGCAGATTAGACATAGAAGCAAGGAAGCACAGATGGGGCAAGAGAGACGCCACATCACATGAAGATCGCCAAGGAACTGAGGACCAGATGCAGAAAATAGACAATGATCTTCCTCCAGAGCCAACAGACAGAGAGCCTTCCCCTAGAGCCAGTGCCCTGCATTCAAACTTCTAGCCGCCTAAGTTGTGAGAAAATAAATTTCCGTTCATTAAACCAACCCACTTGTGGTATTTCTGTTACAGCAGCACTTGAGAATTAAGATACGTGTATATACCACATTTTGTTTATCCCAGAATATTCTTAATGTGTTGGAGGGCCTTGTGGTGAGAGCAGAGGAGGAAGGACTGAGTCCAGAGGAAGTGCATTGACTGTAAATTGGTTCAACTTCCAGGAGGGAAGTTTGTTGCTATCTACCAAAATTATAAATGCTTGACTTCAGGAATTTATCCTAAGACTTGTTTTGCATATCTGAGAAATTATATGTGTGTAAGATGAGCAAAAGATGGAAAACAACACAAATGTCCCTGTTTCACCCTCTGCAGAGCCGAGAAGTGTTTACTTTTGCAAAGCGAGGAGAAGCTACATCAGGAGGGTTATTCTGGGAGGGAGAAGAGATGGGGGCGAGAGACTCATCGAAGGCTGTAATAATAAGCCAAGGGTGAAGTACCAAGGACTGGGAAAGACGGCAGAGGTGAGTAGGGCCAGGTGGGGTTCTGGGTCTACAGCGGGAGAGGCCTGGAAGAGGCCACATCCAGGAGGCTACTGGGGGCTCAACGAGAGTCAGCTGCACTGCACAAACATTTGCTTGGAAGCCCAGAATGAACCAACTTCTAAAGGGGCAGATTCAGAGAGAGATGAAAGGAATGGGTGGCCCATCCCAGGAGCACCAGGGCACCAGCTCTGATTATCTGCAGAAGACCATACCCAGCCGTGGCACAAGATGACAACGAAGACAAGAGGCCAAAGACCCAAATGAGGCCAGTAGCAAGGGGCGACCAAACCTCCCTTTCCTATTCCATGGGCTGGGAAAAAGGGAGTCATCTGAGAAAATCTAGGTGTCTGTTCTGTCAAAGGCTCAGTCCCCTCCTGGCACCAACCCAGCCTTCTGCATACTGGAGAGAGGGAGGGCTGCGTGGGAACATGCTTGGCCCCACTCCCTAATGTCATGTCCCCATCTGTCCATCCCTCTGGGCCCAGATTGAGGGTCTCTGGTCCCTTCTCCTGGTACAAAATCAAACTTCCTTCCTTCTGCCCAGCCAACCCTGCTCCTCTAAGACCTTGCTCCCTCTTTGGCTAGTTCATCTCCCTGTCTTCAGGCTCCTCCTTGTCAGAGGAGCATAGAATGCCTTTGCCTCTTCAGCCATGACACCAGTCCTTCATCCTGCAGCCCCTTCTGGCTACTCCCCATCCCATCCTCACCTCTCAGTGAGATTTGCTTGCTCTGCCCCTACTTCTCACCTTCCATTCCCTCCTCCACCCTGCTCCCACCATTGCCCCAAAGTGTTCTCACTTACATGGTTCACTATTTTCATCATGCCAACTCCAGGGGACACTTCTATTTCTTATTTTACTGATCTGCTCTGTCACCTGGTACAAGGAGTACTTCTCGGAACCATTTCCTCCCAGTTTTCCCTGTGTGCCCCACTCCTTTTCTGCTCTGCCTCTCATGTACTCATCCTTTCTAGTAGGATCAATTACCCATTGGGAGAAGGCTGCAGGAAGCAGGAATTTGCCCTTGAACAACCAAGAGGAGGGAAGTAGTAGGCTGAGAGGCAAGGTGGGATGTATGGGCGTGGAAAAGGCAGAGAGAATCTTATTGGAAAGGGAGTTAGGCAGAAAAACAGACCCACAACGGCACATCCCTCAGAAGGTACCGAGACCTGTTTCTTTCAGCAATACCTGATCCTACAAGCGTAAGAAGGGGTGGGTAACTAACCCTCCCATCTTGCCTTCTCCGGCTCCCACTTGACTCATCTCTCCTAGTATGCTGCTCCTTCTCAGATTCCAGTTCTCTTCCCAGACTCCAGCATCTGCCTTTGTCTTGCCACCTCTTAGCCTCTTGTCCAGCCTGCTTTCTTCCTGGGTATAGGCACTCAGCCCTCCAGGTTTCCACATCTCCTAGAAGCCAGAGAGATGGCCTGGAGGCCTTCAAGTCCCCAGGTTCATTTTAGATCTGTCCAGGAGGCTCTGCCTTCGCCCCCCACCCCCAACACTTTGGTGTCCTGGTTACATAACAATCACAGTCCCCAAAGCTCTGACATCACCCACTGAAGAAATTCTCACCAGCCCAGACAGCCAAGGGGGACTATGTGTGACCAGGGATGATGGCGTGGGAACAAGCCTAATGGAACAACCAGGAACTGGTAAGGGGGTGGGGTGACAGCCACAGTCAGACGGAGTAAAAGTAACGGAGGTGACCCTGAGAGGAAAGAGGAAGTATTTGGGTTTTTTAATTCCCCTAAGTTCCCACAAGATTTCATTGTTGCCCCACATTTCCCCTCTTCCCCACATAGGGAATTTCCGATTTCACTTCCTCAAAACTCAAGTGGCCAGAGGGCCTCGAGTTCCTCTTTACCCTCTCCTGCCCTCCCTCCAGAGCCTCTTCAGAGAGGCCTTCTCGTCCCACCACCCAGGTGTAACTCATTCATGTCGTCCATTCCTTGTGCCCATCTCCCGATTCCCAGCCTTGTTGGCCTGAGGCGGGGTCAGGCTTCTGGCTGCTGGGCCTGTCTTTCCTCCTCAGCCTTCTTCCTCTTCATGTTTCTTTCCGTAGTTCCCACCCTGCCTTGGATTCTCCCCTCCCTCAGCTTCCTCTATTACTCCTTTCTTGCTTTGCCCTCTCGCATGGCAGATGAAAGATGAGGGGATGAGAGTATGTGTCACCGAAGCAAGGGCAAGATGAGGAAGCAAAAAAGGGCAGTGCAGGCAGTGCAGGAAAGGAGGAGCTTTGGCCCCAGGGTCCTCTGACATTCCTGAAGATTCTTCCGGTGGAAGGAGGATCAAACTGGGGTCAAACTGGGGATGGGTGTGTGTACTCAGAGAACTGGGGTGTCTGAGTGTTTCTCGGAGACTTGAGGCAGGGTGGAGGGGTCGACGTGCACTGGACGGCAGGCAACCCCTGGAGATTGCCTCGCGCCAGACTCCCACTTCCCGCCTTCTCAACCGCAGCACTTCCGCAAGCTGCCCCATCAGGGACAGGGCGAAACAGGTGCGGTTCCCACGGTACCACTTATGGCGGCCAGGGCCAGGGAGCGGGGGCAAACTTGGCTCGCGAGATTTGTAACCGGCCAATGGGAGGCGGGGGAGGGGAGGACGCGGCGCGAGCTCGTGGGCGGGGACGGGAACGGCTCCTCCCCCACTCTCCCAAGTTCCGGCTGCGCCGCGCGGCGGGGGCGGCCGCTCCGGAACGAGGGGTCCGGCCTTATAAAGGGCGCACGGGGCGGCGCGCCCTCTACTCCGCAGAAGGCGTCTGCACGGGTCGTGCCGTACGCCTGCGCAGTGTGGGCCGCTCCCGCTCCCGGCCCCGTTGCCACCCCCTCCGCCGGCCGGCCCGGCCCCGCCTCGGCTCCGGCCCTCGTCCAGCTCTCAGCCGCCCGTCTGCCTGCAGCAGGCAGCCCCGTGTCCAGAAACATGTTCAGCTGGGTCAGCAAGGATGCCCGCCGCAAGAAGGAGCCGGAGCTCTTCCAGACGGTGGCCGAGGGGCTGCGGCAGCTGTACTCGCAAAAATTGCTGCCCCTGGAGGAACACTACCGCTTCCATGAGTTCCACTCGCCAGCGCTGGAGGACGCCGACTTCGACAACAAGCCGATGGTGCTCCTCGTGGGCCAGTACAGCACGGGCAAGACCACCTTCATCCGGCATCTGATCGAGCAGGACTTCCCAGGGATGCGCATCGGGCCCGAACCCACCACCGACTCCTTCATCGCCGTCATGCACGGCCCCACCGAGGGCATGGTGCCTGGCAACGCGCTGGTCGTCGACCCCCGGCGCCCCTTCCGCAAACTCAACGCCTTCGGCAACGCCTTCCTCAACAGGTACTGGCCGCTAATCCCGGGGAGGTGGGGCGGAAAGGGGGGCTGCGCACTCGGGTGCCGACCTGACCTGCTCGTGGCCTCCGCCCCCCACCGTCCTTTGTCTCCGAGGCCCCGGAGGGACCCTCAGCAACCACTCCCTGGGCCAGGGGCCCCTGTCGCCTCCCACAGAAAGCCCATTCCAGGAGTCTGGGAGTGGGCGTCGCCGGCTCCCCCGGCTTCTACCGCCCCCAGAATTGTCCAGGTCATCAGTTTAACTCCCAAACCTTCCCACAGACCCCAGCCCCACTTCCCTCGGAACCAGGGCCCGTGCTGGGAAGGTGACAGATTCCTGCCTTCTCTTTCTTGGTCTCCACCTCCTGCCCCAAGTCTTGTCCTTCCCCTGGGCGGGACGCACCCAGTTCATTCAAATCTCAGCCCCTCCTCCCCCTTCGCTTCCTTCAAGGGTCTCTTTCTTCAGTGTCATGGAAAAACACAATGTAACTTTAAGCCATTCCCTGGGCTGGTGTGGTGTGGGTTTCTGCTCTGCCTCCCCTGGGGCTGTGGTTTGTGGAGGGCCACGGAAGCTCTGCTGTGGCTTGCTCACTGAGGCAGCCCCTGGCAGACACACGGACACTTCTTCCAGAGGCCACTCTCAAAGGATCTTCACTGCGTGAGGCAGTGGGACCCAGCAATGGGATCCAGACCCTAAGTCCCTCTGTAGACTCTCTAGGAGGCTCCGTAATCTGTTGAGCCTCAGTTTCCCCAGTTCAGTGGGTGAAACCTGCCTCCTCACAGTGAGGCTAATACAAGATTCTCACCCTTACCGTGGGTGCTATGAATGGAAGGCTGTGGTCCCCTGCTCACCTTACTCTAAAGGAACCGGAAGGTGCTGTCAGTGGTCGCAAACCACACCCCCCCCCCACACACACACAGGGGACATACCAAAGGACTTCACAGTTCCTGCCCTCTCTCTCACCCCCCATTCAGGGAGTGACTCCACGTGCCTCTCAAAGTCTGAGTCTGAGGAAGAGCCTAGAAAAGAATTCTTAAGTCTTGCTGTCCAGATCCCTGCCCTGTAGGATTACATTCCTTCCAGACGCTGTACAGTCCCACAGGGCGGGCCAGCCTATCTCCGAGCTGAGCCAGTGGCCAGGCCTCTGCTGGGCACAGAGCTGAGCTTTCCCAGAGAAGACTAGCAGGCTTCTCCTTGCCTTTCTGCCCCTTCCAGGCATTTACGACTGTCCTGTTTCGTGGCGGTCAGAATTTGTGTGCCGGGGCCAGAGTTGAGAGAAGCCTCTGACTGAGGCTCCAGAGAGGCAGGTCTTAGCCTGGAGCCTTCCTCCACGTTCCTTATGTTTTAGAATCATCATGCCTGTTGAGAAGCGGTTGGCTCAGACAGTCAGCTGGTGGAATCCTTGTGAGCTGGTGGAAAGTTTTGGCTGCTGTGTCGGAAATTCCAAGCATTAGGTCTCTGCTTTTCACGCAGCACTTTGGGATGCTAGAAGGAAGGTTAGCCACATCTGTCTCTGCTGTCTTTAGGGCTTCACGTTTGAGTGCAAAAGCAGACCTTTTTTGAAGGGAGAGCCAGAGCACATGACCCGTTTCTGAATCTAGAGACCTAGAGTTTCATCTAGCCCCATTGGTTGTGGAATCAGGCTCAGAGGGCCTGGTGACTTGTCGAGGTCACACAGCGAGTTACTGCAGCCCCAGCCACCTGGCCTTTGAGCAGCCAGTCTGCACTTACTGCTGCTTCTACATGAAAAAGAGCTGGCAGGAGCCCTTGGTCCTCAACCAGCACTTAGGTGACCACAGGACCTGAGCACCACACTTTTATTTCCCTCCTGCCACCACCTTATCTCCAGAGGGTCCCTGACCGCTAAAGGGCTGGGTTGAGGGGTTTGCACCCACTCGTGCTGTGTCAGGATGTGTGGTGCGTGGTGCACGGTGCCACTGGGGAGGGAGGGCACAACAAAGGGGGCTTTTCTCTGGCTGATACAGCCTCTCCCAGACTCTTCAAGAGACCCATTGAGTCATGAACTTGACTTTACAGCCTTTAGAGCAGAGCGGCTGCTCCAATGGGGCTGACCTAGGCGGGGTGCAATCAGGGTGTCCTCAGAGTGTCTTGTGAAAGCTCCTCGTTGCATAACTGGTGCTGCTCACTTGTAGTGAGAGAGGAGATCCGTGCGACCTTGCTGGCGAGATGACAGGATGGGACTGTCCCTGCGGCCCTCTCCCGGCCTTGTTTTCTGCCTCACTCGCTGGCCTTTGCAGAGCCGCTTGTCTCTGCGTCATCCAGACGTGAACCTGCTCACCAGGCTCCTTCCAAAGCTTTTGGGTGTGTATGACTTCTTGGAGCCAGTTCACCTGCACGTCTCTTCATTTTGCCTTCTTTCCTGGTGCACAGTTATTTAGGGCATGCAGCAGTCCCCTCACTGCTGGTGCTACTGAGCAGGTCCAAGGTTTGCTCACCCTGTGCATGGGTCTCTTGGCACTTGCGATGGCACTTCTCACCGTGGCCAGCTGCTCCCAGCCAGTGGGCCACTGGTCGCTTGGGGGATGGGGCCAGCAGACGCACGAATCAGTTCAGTTCCTCCCCACTGTTGGACAGGCAGCATTAAGCCTGCGGCCTACAGACAATGCGTCCGTATTTTCTTTGCTCACAATACCTTTTTCAGAGAAGTTTCTAAAGGAGCCTCTTTTGTGACCAGTCTTTACCAGTCTTTGATTCTTTAATCCAACTATCAGTTTGGAGAGCCTGGCTGTTCTAAGCTTAGTGTGGAACTCAGGCACACACAACTAAGCCCTCGCCCATGAGTCGCTGGCCTCCCTTTGCCTTTGTTCTTGTTTGGCCTGCTTTGATTTTCAGAGAATGGTGTGTCTTTGCTTCCCCACCCCATCATCAACCAGCCCATTTACCCCGTCCCTTTACCCCGGCCACTGGGTGAAAGGGGAGGGCTGGACCTGGCCCCAGAAGCAATAGGAAGGGACCATCTCTCTTTGGTATGTGGAAATTTAGCCAAGTGGTTGCAGATTTCAATATTGAATTCTAAGCTCCCAGTGTCGCTCCTCTGTTTCCCTTCTGAGTGACCGAGGCTGGTGGAGTTTTCACTAACAAGTCAGCAACTTGAAAGTTGAACTCCGGACCTCTGGGGGAAAAGTTAACGCAGGAAGTGCTGATGTGGGTCAGTTTCAGCCTGCTGGTTGGGTTCCCAGTTCAGAAAGTTCATACACGTGATGGCCACCCTGGGAATGAAGACAATGGCAGCAACCTTTAAGTTGCTTACTTCCAGAAAGGAAGCCAGAGGTGGCGAGGAAGGCATGCAGAAAGCGCTGTGGTCACATCTTGAGCAGCAAGAACCTGGTCTTGACCCCTGTCTTCCTGGTTCTTGCTCCTTGCAGGTTCATGTGTGCCCAGTTGCCTAACCCCGTCCTGGACAGCATAAGCATCATTGACACGCCTGGAATCCTCTCTGGAGAGAAACAGCGCATCAGCAGAGGTAACCGGCTCTGACGGTCGCCAGAGCACCTGGTATAATCAGACGACTTCTGTTTGATCTCTGGGACGTGGACCAGGTGCTGTACTTGAGGATTCGTCCTGCCCTGGGCTCTCCTTTTCCGTGTATCCAAGTGAAAACCCATTTGACAGGAGCCTTTTGTCTGCACGGTGCTCTGGGCAGAGAGAGCCAGGAGCTACTTTCTTCCTTGGCTCCCTGTGCTAAGCTCACAAGAGCAGTCCAGGTGAGACTGCAGCCAGCTTTGTGCGGCCCCTGGGACACCTGGGAAGGGGAGCGGATTTGGAGGTGTGAGCTCACAGGGAGAGGCTCCACAGCCATGCACCAGGTGCAGGAGGAAGCACCGCTGGCTGTGAGTGAGCCCACAGCTCCAAAGTGGCCTACGTTTCTAGAGGGCCCAGCAGGGCCGTGAGAGCCAAAAGGAGAAGCTCACAGAAGCCTGTTAGATGTTGAGGGGCTGGTGGAAATTTGCTTACATGGTGGTCACCAGCAGCCTCTGAGTGCTGTACGTGGTATAGAGTCTTCATGCTGAGTATCGGTGCCCAGGAGTTCCTGGGTGGCGCAAGTGATTAAGTGCTCGACTGTTAGCCAAAAGGTTGTTGGCAGTTCGAACCCACCCAAAGGCGCTTCAGAAGACAAGCCTGGTGATCTCCTTCCGAAAGGTCACAGCCTTAAAAACCCTATGGGGCAGTTCTACTCCGCACACATGGGGTCGCCATGAGTCGGCATTGACTCGACAACAACCACCAACAATACCATTGGTGCAGAGGCCCATGGCAGTGGTGGAAATGCCTGTCTAGATTTTGCCAAGCTTTTCTGACCATCTGGTTCAGGATGAGCCGGAACTGGGCTGCGTTTCTGCCAGGGCCCCCTTCGGTAGAAGGAAGGGGAGCACGGGGGCCTGAGTGCTCTCCCGGGGAGGGTGAGGATAGGTGTGCAGTACCCGGCTGGCTCAGAAGTGGAACCTGCCCTGCAGCTGCAAACATGAAAGTGAAATAAGATGAAACTCACGGGTTGAGGACAAGTAGCCAAGTTTGTTTATAATTAACTTGCAAATCTTTTCTGAGACTGTTTCCCTCTGGGCCACCCAGCAGTGGTGAGCTTTGCAGTTGAAGCTGGCAGCCTGAGATTTGGGGGTGGGGGATGTCCTCTTGGCTCTACGGGGGTAGGGGCCCTGTTCTGGGTGCTGAGAAACCTGCTGTTTTTTGTTCTCCAGGCCGTGGGCGCACTGAAACTGTTCTATCTGTGTATGTAAATAGGGGTTAAAAATTGCCAGTTAAGATTCTAGGTTCTCTCCGCCCCTGGTGATAAATGGCACTCCTGGGAGTTTAAGGGAGTAGATTTGGAACCCCTTATAAAAAAGCAAGAGCTGTTTTTTGTTGTTTTTTACTGCTCTATTATTGTTCCATCCTGGTTTTAAGAGAATGCCTGATAAGCAAAAGTCCTGTCATTTGGTAAGACAAGGCTGGAAAATTGGAATAAGTTACTCGTGAAAGGCAAAAGAAAACCACAAAAGAGCAGTTTTTTTCCCAACCCTACCTCCAGGGCTGAGGCTCTGTGGAGTTAATCTCCAGGATGACCTGGAGGAGGAGGCCGTCCTGGGTTCCCCTGACCACCTTGGGGCTTTGGGTAATGCTCCTGCCCCAGCAGGCATTAGGTGGTCAGTGGTGAGCACACATCTTCAGATAAGGGACAATAGTCCACAGAAAGAGGCCTATCTTCCCAGAATGCCGATGGCCACTCAGCCTGGTCCTCAGAGCAGGGAGTGAAGGTATTTCAGAACACAGGTCTAGGATTCTGTGGCCTATGCTGTCTTATAAAAAGGAACTCAGAAACAGCTGTTTTCCACCCGGTGCTGTGAAGCCCCCACTGGGCTATCTTTGGCAGTTCGGCCTCGAGTTTAGAGTTTAGCAGGCTGAGAGGTTTTGAACGCAGGTCTTGATGTATGACATACCCTGCTCCACTGGGATCCGCCCTTCCACTGTCCTGTCCCTTCTGCTTCCTTTCCTGGTTAAGACTTTGGGAAGACCTGCAGTGATGTCTCAACGTGCCCTGCAGTCAGTGAATGAGCAAATCCAGACAGCACTGGATTGGGGCCGGGCTGTGGAAGGGCCTGCCTCTCCAGATGACAGGAACGTGGAGTCTGCCGGCAGGAGCCGCACGGCCAGTGCTCTGCCCTTCAGGGCTGCCCAGGCCCCTGCGGTGTAGGTGTGGCCCCTCTGGGCCTCTGAGCATCCAGGCAGCCCCCACGCCATCATTTGCGGGAGGAGAAGGCGGAGTAAGATGTGTGCCTCCCTGACTGGCAGAGGGGTTTCCTGCTGGGAAATAAGGAGAGAGCAAAGTACTTGTTTACTAGATTCTTTCTTTCCCTCCTTATCCCCCAAAGGTCTTAGTTTAAATATATTTCACTAAAAGTTATCAAATTGGGATTTGCTGTGGAATATGTTTGGGGTCAGTATTTTATGGGCAGATGACCATCACGTGGTACATCTTAGCTGTGCTGGGTGTGGACTCCCACGGGTGGTGACCACTAGGAGAATGAGGGCATTTTTCCTCCTGGGAGACTCCGCCCATCAGTCATGCAAAGACCCCTCATGGACCTGGCCACCCCCCACCCCCACCCCCACAGAGGAAGTCAGAGTCTGACTAGGTGAAAAGCAGGTGTTTCCCTCACAGAGAGATGGGGCAGACGGGTCAACCGAGAGTACAGGTCCCGGGTGGGCACCCTGCATCTCCGTGGGCCCCAGCCTGGCTCCCTGCGCTCAGAACAGCCTTCTGGAGGTGCATGGACCTGAGAGCTGCTAATTACATCCACTTCCATCTCCTGCCCCCGCCTGCCTGGCCCCTCCTGATTTTCTCCCTTTTCCCCCGTGGTCCCGAATGTGTGCAGGAAATTCTGTCTGCAAAGATAAGGCAGGGCCGCGCAGGCCCAGCACGGTCAGAATGCAGCCTGGGCTGTCCACCGGTCCCTGAGAAGACCCACAGGGAGAAGGGGCTTGGGGGTCTCGGGCAGCTCTGCCTATTGTTCCATGTCCTGAGTGACTTTAAAGATAATGTTCTCCTCCGTCAGCAGAGAAAGGCGACCTTTGGGGACAGTGTTCATTCTTAAGTGCTGCTCCTGTGACTGATAAAGAGCATTCCAGAGGGCATCTCGGGCCCAGTGGGATGGGTGCCCTTGGCTCCTGGCGCTGCAGATCGCCTGCACAGCCCAGGCAGTGCCTGTGAGCAGGGGCCTCCCATGGTGGGTCTTCAGTGGGGGCAGCGAGGAGGCCCACCCAGATGGAGGCCGCAGCCTGGGAGGCAGGGGCTTGGCCAGTTACGCTCCACCGTTGTCTTTACGTGTCTATGAGCTGAGCCCTTCACTTCTGTGCCTCAGTTTCCCTGTGAAAGCTGTGTCAGCAAGGAAGTGTTGTTTCAACTTGGATTAGGAGAGCAGAGTCTTGCCTGGCCTTGTGCCTGGCTTTCTGCTGACCGCTGCCACATGAACTAGCTGCATTTAGTCATCACAGCAGCTGCATCTGCGAGGAAGCTACTGCTTCAATGAGGAAATGGGCTTAGGAGAGTCAGTAATTAGACCAAGATGACATACAGGCTAGCAGGGGTCAGAGTCTGGATTTAAACTCCATTGGGAGTTGTGCGCATGCACAGTGTGGCTGAGAGAGGGTGCCTTGGTGTGAAGGCATGGTGAGGGGATCTGAGAGCTTGGGTTAGACAAGGCTTTGGCCTCTGAGGTGGGTGCTCAGAGCTCCCCTGAAAGGCATAGAGGCTGCCTTTGCTGCTCTCCTGGGGCCAAGATCAGGCTCGAGTTTGGGGCTTTGGGAGTAGCTGGAATGTTTGTTCCCAGAAGTGAAGCTTGGGGCTGAATACCATTGTTGGTCTCTTCTTCCTTCCCCAACTTCCCTGCCTCCAGCCAGACATTGCCCCCAGGCCCTCCATGGAGCAGCGCAGGAGCCCTGCCTAGGGGGGCTGCTCCCCGGGGCTCCCACCTGCCCCCTGGTGCTTGCGTGCCTTGATCTTTAATAGTTGAGTACGCCTCCCTGGCTGCCCGCCCAGAGTGGGGCTGTGTTGCGGGTAGCCCTCCCTTTCTGTCCACCCTCTTGCTTAGCCACCTCTGGAGATGCTGTACTCCTAAAAGCCCCTTGTCAAGGGCTTTCTGCAGACCCTAGGAGGCTCCATGAGGGTGCCCCGAAAGCCTGGAGCAAGGCCGAGTGCTGTGTCCCTCTTAGACCACAGCGCCCACAGCGCCAGTAGCAGCAGAAGTTCAAGTCCCAGCTCAGCGCTTCAGGAGCTCGTGGCCCCTGGGAGCCACATCAGTAAAACAGGAACAGCCTCTGGGGCTCCTTGTTGCTGAGGACTGGAGTTTACACGTGGGAAGCCTTCACCCTGGTGCCTGGCACACAGTTAAGTGTTTGGCACATGTTGTCGGCTGCCATCGAGTCAGCCCCCAACTCCTGGGGATCCATGTGTTACAGAGGAGAACTGCTCCACAGGGTTTTCTTGACTGTCATCTTTATAGAAGCAGATAGCCAGACCTTTTCTTCTGCAGAACCACTGGGTGAGTTCGAACCACCAACCTTTGCATTAGCAGCGGATCGCAAATCGCTTGTTAGCTAGTTAATAATAAGGGCACTGAAAACGCCAGGGCTTCCCAGAATTCTTGGACGAGGGAGACCTTTTTCTGAGTAATAGCCGCTCCCATCCTGAGCAGGATGCTGGGAAAACACTGACTCAGCTGGGGTTTCCCTTCAAATTCCACGACCTCCTCTCCGGGGCTCCCCAGCTTCAGCTTAACCACCCTCCTCAGAACCTCCCCCCACAATCCCTCCTCTGCTGTCTCCTCTCCCTCTCTGGCCCAGCCCAGCAGCTCTGGGCCCCAGCACTTAGCTGGGCGTCCCACAGGCGCTGCTGGGGGGCGTGGGCTGTGTGTACCGTGGAGGAGGGTACCAGGTTGTGGCTGGCACGCGGCACCTGTTCCACCGGCTGCG